CTGTTCTATAATAATTGAACTGTATTTCCTTATTTTAATACTTGCCGCAGATTCAGCTACCACACCACTCGTTTTACTAGAAAATTAATCCAAAATATTTCAGTGGTGCCAAGTCATAAAGCTAGGAAAAACTGTCCCAGACTTCTTGGGTGTGGCGCCTACTCTTAAGATTTTGACTCTATCTGGGAGATGTCAGCAAAACACAAAATAGCAAAATTGTACACGAAAAAACAAACCGGTGGTATTATAAAAAAAAGAACCCCACAATGTTGGGGATTGGGCGCCAGCTCTGCGCTACGTTTAAAGAACACAGCGCAGCGCTTGCTTTTGGTAGTCATCGAACACAATGGTGGTGTTAGAGGCTAATAAACCACCCCCAAAAGTTAAAGGCTTTTTGCAAAATTTATAATTGCGCTAGGATAACTTGAGCGCTAGGTCTACAGAACAGAAAACATCAAATTTTTACCCGAAAAGACAAAATGGTGGTGCCCCCTCCCCCCACACCATTGGAGGGTGATGACAGCTCTAAAATTTGTGGCGCTAGGTCAGCAAAACACAAAACGTCAAAATTTTACCCGAAAAAACAAAATGGTGGTGCTAGGAAAAATTGCCCCCTGCACTATTGGGGGGTGGCGCTAGCTCTAAAAATTGTGGCGCTAGCTGGCGCTAGGTCTGACGAACACAGCGCTTGCTTTTGGAAGTGATCGGACGCAATGGTGGTGCTAGCGTTAACTTAGCACCCCCCGAAAGTCAAGGGCTTTTTTGCAAAATCTATAATGGCGCTAGCTGAACTAAAAGTGGCGCTAGCTGGCGCTAGGTCAGCAGAACACAAAACGTCAAAATTTTACATGAAAAGACAAAATGGTGGTGCTAGGAAAAATTGCTCCCCTCACTATTGGGGGGTGGCGCTAGCTCTAAAATTTGTGGCGCTAGCTGGCGCTAGGTCTGACGAACACAGCGCTTGCTTTTGGAAATGATCGGACGCAATGGTGGTGCTAGCGTTAACATAGCACCCCCCGAAAATCAAGGGCTTTTCTGCAAAATCTATAATGGCGCTAGCTGAACTCAAAGTGGCGCTAGCTGGCGCTAGCCATAGAGATTCTAGCGCAATCTGTCTTTAGTCAAAAATTTGAAATGGTGGTGCTAAGTTAACGGAGCCTGTAAAAGGTAACGTTTCTACCATATCTATGCCATTATCTATAATTAATGCATTATCGCTGTCATGTCGGCACGGTAGCCCTTCTACACTTAATGTGATCACGTCTAATATTTTTTCCTCGTAATCTGTGTAAGGAGTACCTTCTGGCTTTCCACCGCCGGTTTTATAAATTATCAAGTTTGTTTTTGGCCTTTTTTGCTTTTATTTCCCTCTTAAGGCAGTCATACTTTAACCTTAAATTTTTCGTGTCTCGATGATTAGAACTTTCATTTTGAGAATTAAATTCCGCCGTTATTTGCTCCCAAGTAGTGTTTTTCTCTTTCCATGTCACAGCGTCCGTTTTTTTATTCTCCAGTATACTGCTATACTTCAAACAAATGTCCGTTAAAAGACGCACCTCCTTCTCACTAAAATTGATGGTCCGCTGTTTTTTTGTCGCCATTTAGAAATAACTAAAATATACAAAATAGGTAATAATTTATTGCATAACAGTCACAATTACTTACATCGTAATTTATTAAATTAATCAAAGCTTCTCATTCACCAGTAATTTGAATTGCATATAGGTTAAGTTGTACTGTTTAGACGTTGGGTATGAACGAGGGTATGAAGTACCACTTGTAGCGATGAAAATTTGTACGGCTGCGAGGCGGTTTAGACATTTTCCCAAGCAACAGTCTGGAGTGATACGAAATCATCAATTGTCATATTTCAATCAGGTTTTATAATTTGAGCCATTTTATTGCTTCTGTCACGTTGATTGATAGATGCATCTATAGAATAGTAAAAAAGTAAGCTTTTAAAAAATAAGATAGAAGTTTTTGTATAAAAATTTATTTATCGAATTCATTCCAAACTTTACGGGCTCACTATATTTATTCGTTACTTCTCAATAAAATGATTCAGTATTATTTCCGTTATTCGACACCAAACGTTGTGGCTAAAGTATTTGGTTTCCAAACGTTTTATCTGGGGTGAACAAAAATTTATTAATACATTCTACATTTACTTTCGTAATGTACAGGGTGCCTGAAAAACAAAAACGTTATGTTCTTATATCATAGGTTAAATCTCAAGGTTTTTGAAAAAGTTAGATACAATTTTATCTTTTTAAAGGTACGGTTTTGCTGGCACCGTCGACGGCCGCCGTTAGCATGGTTTTCTTGCACTATTTTAAACGGGCCAAGGAAACCGCGTCCATAATAAATATCGAGATGCAGTGCTTCTGTCGACGGCTCCAGCGAAACCGTACCTTAATTCTCTATATCTGTTTCTGCTTTTTAGACCAATTTCACATGTAGGTTTTCTGCTGCTGCCAAAATTAATTAACGAGTAGCAGTCGTCAAAAAATTGTGAGTAAATAATTGAAAGTGTTTTAATCAGTAAATATAATGTTTTCCTGAAAAACGTGAGTATAAGCAGATACAGCGCCACCAAGCACCACGTGAAAATATATGCCAACTAATTTTTAGCGTATTTTCCTGAAAGTGAAAAACCGATATTGGGTTCATTTATAATATAATTTAAGAAATGTATGTACTCGTATATTTAAAAGGGCTTGGTGCAAGGATTCCATGCGCACCCATATTATGTGGTTTTACGCATGCGCAGTGTCACAAATTTGGTTTACCGCATGCGCAATGCTAATTTTTTTATTTATGAAGATATATAAATGAAACTTCATATGTATAAACACTACGAATACAAGTAAAACTAACGACGTTTTCAAAATAGTTTTGCGCAAGCGCAATGTCAACTTTATTATTTATGAAATCGTTTTGAAATGAAAAGTTATATTTTTGGGACACCCTGTATATTGCAATAATAATTTAAAGATAAACCTCTAATTGATCTGATTCAAAGGTAAAACTTTTGCAAATCCAAGTACCTGCTTATTTTAACTGCTATGTTTGGTACCCAATAATGTGAATATCCCTACACATGCAAGTCTTCACCGACATTTCTTCTTTTTTTGAGAAAAATCATGTCTTATTGCGCTAAGTATAGATTTAAAAAGAAAATGGCTCGCGAAGATTATGTAAATCTGGCATCTTCATCGTCAATTGTTGACGGAACGGACAGGAACTGAGTTTCACTCAGAATTGGATTCAAACAAGGGTTCAAATAATCACTCCTATGCAGTAAAATCATTGATTTGATGTCAACATTGAAATCATTTCAAGAATATTATTTTGGATATTTCAATGTTGAAAAAATTTCGTATTCTGTATGGGCACTTGATTTGAAAATATTGAAATCATAGATTGATTGAAATAAAAGTCAATGTGTCATTTGGCAACATGGCATTGTATTAAATTTACCAACTTCATATTTGTTAGAATAGAATCTCTGGTCTTTAAATATTAAACATAACCTTTTAATCTTTCTTGAATGTTGTGTGTGCACAGTGCAAATATATTTATTTTCTTTGTGATTTTTATTAAATAAAGAAGGTAAGTATGATAACTATTTGATCATAAAAGTAATGATTAAACAGCTTTTACTGGATGTGTCCTTGTGTTGATATGTATGTGCTGCATTTCTTGTACGCATGCATTGAATTTAAAACTTTAAATTTCAATGATGTATGTATGTTTATAGGAGGCTATTAATGGACAAATTACAATCCTAAAACTGAATCCACATGATATAATTTCTCGGGTCCGTTGTAACTGTGATCAATATAATCATTTAAAAGTTCACAACCACAACTTTGTTCTTTTATTGGTCACAGTCGCAACAGATCTGTGAAATCGTGAATGATGTGGATTCAGCCTAATTGATATGTATGTATCGATAAGTACTAGATGTTAATTTTTAATTTAGATGCCGCCAAAAAAGGCAACGCCTGAGCAGTATAAACTGCTTGTGGACATGTTTGCTGAAAGCAAATGCTTGAGGTGGGGAAAGGGAACTCCAGGTGAAAAAAAGGAAGCATGGGAAGCCATCAGTGCTGCAGTTAATACTTTAGGAGTTGAGAAATCGTCAGATGGATGGAAAAAGGTGGTGTTTATAATTAAAGATAAATGCTATTATACATATTTTTTAGGCCTTTATTGAGATGAAATCTCACATCAAATCAAAAATCCGAGCTTCAAACCAGCTCAACCCAACTGAAAATAGATGTGCAGAAGTCACCGGATTGTTTATATCCTGCTCTGGAATTTCTGGGGTTCAGGAAATGGGAATGCCACCTGTTGGTGAGTTTCAATTATTTGAAATCTTAACATCAATAGACAATTTCTATCAAAGTTGACCCTAAAAAAAAGATAAAGGCTATCCTAGTTGATATTACAATTATTTTACAATTAATATTATTACTATATTTTTTTGAAAGTTTGTTCAATTCACTTTATTAGAGGTGTCTTTATTGTTATAGTTGATGCGATAGATACACAAGAACCCGAAGAGGGCCCTCAAGATGAGTCGGTCGAAATAAATCCACCTGACGGTAATGAGTTGCTGAGTAAGTATAGGTGGATACTTGTATATAACAAGGCTTGTAAATTTTAGTGAATCCGAATGCATGTGAGGTTGTTGAGGAAGAATTCGAGGAGGTAGAAACAGCCTCAAAAAAAAAACGTAAAACAACTCAAGGTAGGTATTTCTAGATTTATCTATTTCTTCTGTTAATTGAACGTTGCATCAATTACACATTCACGTTTGCAGTATTGCTCAATGAACATGTTGTATCTACAAACAGAGGGTTGCAGAATATAGCACTTGCGATTCAGTCAGTTGCAGATGCAATTAATAATATAGCTTTTGTGTTGGGTGGAACAACGGACGAGGAATATGAAGAACAGTAGAATTAATGTTACTGTGTAACTGTACAATGTAGCTTCCGAAATGTTTTGTTTTTTTACTTTTTTTTATTGAAAATGTATGTGTTAGTTTTTTGTGTATTGTTGATTATATGTATGTATATATATACAAATTGGTTTAGTTTTCTTTTATAGCAATAAAAAAAACAAAAACTACACCACAACAGTACGAAATGAAGAAATATAAATACGACAATGAAGAAAATGCTTTTAAAGCATTATGTGAAGAACTGAATGGGAAAAAAAAATTGCAACGCTCTGTTGAAAATTGGAAAAGGGTATATACCTGAGGTGTGTGCTTAAAATCACTTATATGATGTAAAATAGGTTTTTACTGTTTGGGAATCAAAAGTGAAAGCAAAAGCTAGGAGAAACTATTTGGAACAAGAGCGCACAGGAGGTGGAGTTCCTATCTTAGAAATTCTGGATGAACTTGAACTACAATTGTTATCCGTTTTAACAAAAATTTTAATATATGGGCATCCAAAGGTTGTAGAATTGGGATTTACAAAACCAAAGAAGACAAAGACGTGTCCCATTAAACTTTCTGTAGGAAAGAGATACAGACATTTGAGTAATGACAATTTGTGTATTTACTGTTTTATCAGATTGTTTTTAGGAAAATCCACTGATTTATACACCACATTGAAAAGCGGCTCAACAAAACTAAAAAATAGTTTACTCGCTATTCAAAAAAGTTTGCATGCTCTGCATGATGCGATTTTAAACCTATTTACTCTAGTTTTAAGTACATCTACATAATAAATGTTTATTATTCAATGGTTTATTATAGCTATATGCAGTAATTATCCACCACTCTGTTCCTCATATTACGGCCATAACGTAAAAAGTTTCTTTCGGCATGATCTACAGATCTACACCTACACCATCAATATTGTTATCAATGTTGCCTGCATCATGACAGTCATTAAACTCTTCTCCATTACCGTTACCTAAGAAAGAATGGTTTACTGATTACAAAAGTAAACAAAAATTTACCATTAATGTCATCAAGATATTCATTTCGAGTAATGCAAAGATTGTGCAATATGGCAGCCGAATAAATAATGTGTGCAGCGCGTTCGGGAGAATAATGCAATGTCCTGTGTTTAAGGCAGCATCGAAAGCGTTGTTTTAATACACCAATAGTCCTCTCCACAGTATTTCTAATATTAATATGGCGACGGTTGAATTGTCTTTCTGCATCGGTTAATGGATTTGCTATTGGAGTGAGTAGCCATGGTTCCAGTGGGTAACCTGAATCTCCTATAAATATTGAATTAACTGGCCAACTCTTTAACTAATAATTGTAATAAAACTGCCCCTTACCCAATAAATAAGTCGTTTGGTTTCTATTTCCAACATAATTATTTACCAAATGCCTTCTCACTAATGATGTTTGCCATATCGCCGAATCATGTACGGATCCAGGGAATCTGGCATTGATATTAGTTATTTTTAGCTGTGCATTACAAATCTGCAACTTAAAAAGTTCATATGGTCCCTATGTGATATTAAAAAAATTCTAAATATTTGTATTATCAGAACCTAGTGCATTAAATAACTCTATAAACAATGATTATTTCCAAAATTTTTTTTATATTAAAATAAAAGATTAAGAATATATACTATAACAGTATAACACTAATTAATAACCAGCATTATAATCAAAATGTTTACTCACTATCTGCACATTTAAACTATAATATTGCTTTCTGCAATAAAAAATAACCCCTGGCATTTCTGGGTGTTCTGTTTTTGGTGCTACTATGGCTATTTGGGTGCCATCAATGCACCCTATTATACCAGGAAATCCACCTATGCCAATAAACCTAAAAACAATTGTAAAAATAAGGAAATTTATCAATATAAATCATACAATTGCTTTTCCTGATTTTTTTCAGCTTCTCCTTCTGGAAATTGTATGGTATAACCCAATACTTCTACCATAACATCTGTTACTTCTGTGATGCATCTGCTCACAGAACTTTGATGCATATTCGTCAAATAATCTTGACCAATACCTTTTTGATAAGAGCCTTGGCTCAAAAAATGCAAAGTAGTAAAGAACTAAAATTTAACAAACCTTGTGATAAACAAACACAAATGATTTGTTTACCCTTAACCCCTTTGGAATGGATGTGTTACGTGCACAATCTCTCATGTGAGGTAGGAGTTGTGTGAGCACCCAATGTGCTAGTTCTCTCGAAACTCTAAATATGCCCCTAAAATGTTCCTCTGGCAGAGATAAAGGGTCACTAGTGTCTCTTAGATGTCTACGATGTAGATTAACATTTCGCCTATTAATTACAGAAAAATAGTAAGAACACTCTACAGAAAGTGTTGCTACCTGTTCCTATCCTCTTCTAATATTTCTACCAAAAAATTTAAGTCCATTTTTAATGTTTAACCACACTTTTTACTCATTTCAAGTATGTATAACGTGCTAGATTTTTCAATACGTTTGAAAAATTGATTTGATTTCAACCTTGACTTGAAAATTATTTCAATTTTTGCATTAGTGCATATAGATTCTTGTAATCTACAAGGTCACTTGGTGTGATTTCAATTTATTGAAACGTCTACTTTCAATAAATTGAAATGTGTGTCATACTGCATACCAAATATTGAAATTGCTGTCAAATGTCGTTTTTATGTCATAATTTCAACCTTGACTTAAGTCAAATGTGCATACTGCATAAGGCCGAATGTCAATCGCGAATGTATACTTGAAAATGAAATAGAACGTATGGATCAGTATAAAGATAATTTCTTGGAATTCATAAATGAGTGTGATGAAATGTACAATTCTGACGAAGTGATAAAAGAAGGATCAGCAGGGAAAAACGAACTTGGCCGTATAAATGCAATTAACATACAACAAAATGATGCATCCATTAACACAAATAGTGCTTCCGATAACTTTTTAACTTTTTTAAAGCAATACGCCCGCAAATTTCAAGTTCCTCATGTTCAAATTAATTCACTTTTGAAAGCACTCAACGAACACTTCAATTTAAATTTACCTGTCGACGCAAGAACCATTTTGCAGACCGTTAGATATACAAATATAAAAGAAATTGGTAGTATCACAGGGAAGGACGGACAGTTTGTGTATCTCGGTATAGCTTCTGGATTATTTCCTTTTTTATCGAATGATGTCGTAAAATCTAAAATTGAAAATAATACTCTGAGACTTATGTTTAATATTGATGGTGTGCCTGTCAGCAAAAGTTCCAACATGCAATTCTGGCCTATTCTTGGAAAATTACACCTCCCGAACTTCAATGTTCACCCGTTTGCAGTTGCAGTTTTTTGTGGGCATTCCAAACCAAATTTGAGTAGCTTCATAGACAATTTTGTAGTGGAACTAACAACGTTACTCGCTGATGGGTTGTCACTAAATGGAATACTGTATAAAATAGATCTCTTTTGCATTCCGTGTGATGCCCCAGCCAGAGCATATGTGAAAGCGATAACTGGTCATGCTGGCACATACGGTTGTGAAAGATGTATGCAAAAGGGGAAAAACGTTCAACACCGTATGGTACCTATATAGTTCAACAAGTTCTCAACATCGAACTTAATCAGAGCTTTCGAAACCAGAAACAGAAAATGCATCATACTGGTATTAGTCCCCTAACACGGATAAAAGATTTAAATATGGTGCATGTATTTCCGTTGGACTACATGCACCTTTGCTGCATTGGAATCATGAACAAAATACTGCGTTTTTGGTTTAAAGTTTCTGGTAAATGCAAACTACCCTGGCGTACAAAAAATAAAGTCTCGGAATATTTACTGCACATACGTGAATTTTTGTTTTGTTTGAACGAGCTTGACCACTGGAAAGCGACCGAGTTAAGAATATTTATGTTATATGTGGGCCCCATTGTTCTGAAAGATGTTTTAGAATCTAAACTGTATCATCATTTCCTGCTATTTCATTGTGCCTTTCGAATTCTGTTATCAAAGAACGTTTCTGCTCAAGATGTAGATTTTGGTGTAGGTACTTTATGGAAAATTAACGATATCGTACAATGTGCACAGTCTTTTACATATTCCTGATGACGTCGATTATTTTCAGTCGTCTTTGGATGAAATCAGTTGCTTCGCTTTTGAAAGTTATTTGGGAAGAATGGTCAAAATGATACGAACACCAAACAAGCACTTGGCTCAAGTAGTTCGCAGATTATCGGAACATACGTCCTTGTTCTATGAAAGTAATAAAGTTCCTTTAAAAACTGAAATCAAACTCTCCAATTTTTGTGCATCTTCTGTAAATAGTAAGGACGGATTCGTCATAATCCGCAATGGAAGCATTTTAAAAATAACATTCATCAATGGAAATCAAATTCTTGGTTATGTATCTGAACAAACTGGCAGTTTTTTTACTTCACCATTTAATTCGTCTGCGGTTGGGGTATATACGTTCAAGAAAATAGGCCCTACAGAATCACGTATTATAGAAAACGAAATCGTTGCTAAAATGGTTGTGATCCAGGAAATCAATAAGCGATACTATGTGGCATTAGCAATGTTACATACAAGTAATAATTGATGATTCCAAATTTCGTCTAAAATTAAATACCGACCTATTTTCATATCCTTAATAACGTACTTAATCTTAAGAATTAAAGTATAATATACGTATGTTATATATTCAAACCTCGATTCAAACTATATTGCGGATTCAATAACTCATGCATGTAAATTTTGTATTCATCGTAAATGAAACACACATTTCTTCTTAGCATGTGGGACGTGGTAATTTGGAAGAATAAAAACAAGAATAAGGAAGAAATTGATTATGTGCCTTCTTGTTGGGAGACCGCGAACGAACTTTATAAATGGCCTCATAATTGTTCGACTCAGCTATTATATATATATATATATATATATATATATATATATATATAAAGAATATAGTGCTACAGTACAAAAACCAAATCTGGCGACTTTGAAGGATGCAAAATATTATTGTGAAAAGGGTTTAACTCAATCTAATATTGAATCAACGGAAGGTGAAGAGGACATGAGCGGTTATGAAGAGGAGGGTAGTGTATTACATTCATCAGATGAAGAAGTAACTTCTAGTAACTTTCAGTAAATTTTTTTAAAAACAAATTTTGTAGATTACACAGGCCCTAATCATTTTGAGAAAAACTTACAAACTGCACCCGCACTTGCTGTTGAAAAACGGAAAGCATCACACATTGGTGGGTAATAATTCCGTTTAAGATTTTGCAGTGTAGTTTAACCAGAAATTGTACTGGCATTTTTAGATGTCACGGCTTCTCAACAAGCTATGCCGTCATCAACTCGTTCGGCTCAGAGTGGTGTTGATATGACATCTCTTACACGTATGTATTGAACTTTAGGCCGAAGAACCAATTACTTACATATTTCTTCTACCGTTTTAGCATTCCAAAAAGTTCTCCTGCAAAAATGTAACACGCTCCAGTATGATGTCAATCAGCTAAGACGTGACATTCAAGATATTAAGTTGCAGTTAGACAGAATTGCTGATACCACTCCCAGGAATGGAGGTACTGTTTACTGTGATCCCACAGAAACATATTTATGAAGAGGCCGACGAATTCGCACGAAACGGAAGCAACTTAACAAATGTAGATATGATACCCGTTCTATCTGAAGATTTTAAATATAGGATAAAGATTAATATCAATGACTTGTGGCAAACGAAATGGCATTCTGAAAATACTCAACTGAGGCACATTAAACCGTCCATTAAGCCATGGAAACCTAGATTACTTACAAGGCGACAATCTACAGCGCTAACGAGGGCAAGAATAGGCCATACTAACTTACCCATCTCCATCTTCTAGGGAAGGTAGGAGTAAATGAGTGCGTGCGATGCGGAGTGAATGTGTCGATGTATCATATATTGATTGAGTGCCGCCAGACCGAAAGGCTGAGAAGAGAGCTAAATCTACCTAATAACCTAAAAAGTATATTTGAAGATACAACTGATGCTGTCAATAGATTACTGTTACTTCTAAGTAGAACTGGTATTTTAAGGAAACTATAATTACTACAGAAAACACTTATTAAATAATAGCTAATAGCCAAAGCAGCTGATGCTAAATAAATAAATAAATAAATAAATAAAAAGTATGCCGGCTGCAAATGATGAAGAATTGATCGCTCTTAATAATATGGTATCTGAATCTGAGGAAAATATGAACGCGCTGGTAAGTGTTAAGGCTGATTTAGAACCGATAAATATGATAATTTTGAGATACTAGCTTTTTTCATATTTTTATTTATGGGTGGAATTTCAGCCACTATAAACAATAGTAAATCAATTCCAAATACAGACGCAATGTGTAAGTCAATAGTTTTTATTTTTTAACATTATTTGAATGATAGTGTGTGCCATTTTAACTTCGTCAGAAATTAATCAATGATTTTGATTTGTTTGCATAATTTTTTCAACATTTTAAACGATTTTTTGGGTTTTTAAGCAACACGTATATAACAGATAAAACTTCTAAAGAGACTAGTGTATTGTAGGAGACATTTAACCAATAAAAATATCAAAACGTGTGATGCATTGGAAATAGATAATAGTAATTGTACGTTCTAACAGACACCTTTACTTCTATAAACTTTTTATATACAGGGAGATCAATAATCATATGCTGCGCCGCTCTTATAAAATATCACATTAGTAATCATTTGCCGCAACCAGGTATATGTGTACCAATACAAAACATAACCTATAATTTTACAAACCAAAACCATGATTTGTGATTCTTATTCGAATACTTTCGTCCCTTTCAAAACGGCTTTTTTCAAGACTACCAGTTTCTTTCGAATATTTACAAGGTGGGTAAATTACTTGTAAATTACAAACAAACGTTTTTTTAGTTGTAGCGTGTAATAGGCAATAGGTTTACTCCGACAAGCATTTTACTTTAGAAGAGAATAAGATGCGTTTGCTGTCCTGTTTCCGTAATGGGACTAAAGACGAAAGTGGAGTTTGGGAGTACTCGATACGTTTGTGTATACAGGAGTTTCGATAAACGATTGTCAACCATGATGAGGATTACAACAATATACGCCGAAATGCTCATCGTCTACTTGAGCGGTATAACATACAGGAAGTCTTGCTTCTGGGAAGTCACCTGGCCGCTTAGTGATTGCTAATAAGGAGGTTGTAAAAGATGTTCTTGCTCGTCTTGAGCAAAGTCGGAAAAAGCAGCTGCGACAATTTGTCCCACTAACGGGCATCTCATACGGAACATGTGACGCTATTGCCTGGAGAAAATTGTACTTCTATCCTTTAAAGTAACCGTGTTACAAGAACTCATCGTCCAGACTTGCAAAGCCGTCTAAATTATTGCATGCAAATTTACGAGATGGCAACGTATTCGAAATCGTTTACACACCATTGCCGAATTCCGAACAGGTATAGAAGCTGCCGTTTGAAACATTACGCAACAGCACTTACATGCCGGCTTCGAAAAAAATCAACTTTGTAGCCCAAATTGTTTTAGCTCTTTTACTAATTGCAAAATAATCTTAGATTGTACTGAAATATATACTTCCACATCACGTAAAAGCATGTCATTACAAAAAGGGACATATAGCTCTTATAAACATAAAAATACGTGGAAGGGGTTAGTTGGCGTAGCTCCAAATGGGGTCATCACGTATGTGTCAAATTTATATGGAGGGTCTGTCAGTGATAAAAAA